GTTGTCATCTCTCTCACTCACAGCGCAGACAACACCAGTGTCCCAGGGAACTCATTTAATTTTTCATAGTCTACCTTTATATTATGCAAGTTTCATATTCCACCAGAAAAAAATGGTGCATTTTAAGAAAATAATGTATATGATTCCATACACATCATCAAGATACGTATTGACGCTGTCATGACCATGACAATACAGTGTTTGCTTAAAGTAGGACTGTTTTTCCCAATGGCCGTGCCGACATGAGGTGAATTGCGCTAAACGTTGTATCGCTTTCGTATTTTCAACAAGAATAAAATATTGTATATTTAAAAAATATAAGAATGCACGAAATAGCACCCAAATAAGAAAATAGGATGAACTTCTTCAGTTAAAATTGCCAGGGTTTCTCTGACAGAATCGGGAAAGTAACAGAGCTCATAATTAGCAAGGACACTGACTGGTGGGAGTCAAGTTTGTATTTTCTCTACTGTGCAAAGCCAAGGGCGATTCTGAGAGTTTTGTTCTGAAGGTTCCTTTCTCCTTCACTCACACGCAGTGGGGATTGGGCTTGTGCACAGCGGACCATCCTGCAGGCTGCTTTGTTTGCTCATGGACATTTTTTCCAAGTCAGCAAATGCGGATTTACATCATTCTTTTTAATAGCTGAATAGTATAGATGTTCTCTAATTTATTTAACAGATTTCCTTTGATGAACATTTAGGTCGATTCCAATTTCCCCTAATATAAATAATGTTGTAATGAACATCATTGTGTTTATATCTTTTTTGACTTATCTAATTCTCTCCATCACATATGGCAGCGTCCAACGTGACTGTTATAGGAAAACTTATTTTATATTTTTATCACTGTGATGCATTCGGTCTCATCCAGAAACTGTCAGGGCGCTTTCCATTCTGACCAGCATGCAAAAGGTTATCAATTTTTTTTTGTATTTTTGGTCTTTTATTTCTAGGAGGGGAAAGCAAAGGGTAAGGAAAATTTTGGATCGTTTTTATTTGTAGTTTTTGGGTCACTGGTGAAGGGGAACATGGTTCATACTTGACCGGACGTTGATACCCTTCCTCTGCTAATTCTCGATCCATTTGCCTTTCGAGTGCTGTGTGATGAGAGTGGGCTGGTACTTATTAATATCGAGGCCTGTCTGGGTGTCCAGTTCACATGGTGCTGTTCACATTAAGGTCTTTCCTGACGCTGAATGAGTTTTAGCGTGAACCGTGGTGCGGAGTTCCGGCTCTATTTTCTACACCGCCGTTTGTTGAGCGATATTTTCTCCTGAGGATCTGAGATGCAATTATTCCATCTAATAGATTTCTCTTTCTGTGTAAGCTGTATCTGAGCACGTGGCTCTGTCCACACGGTCACGTCGATTTCGTCATCCTGGCTCTGTGATGGGTGTTGGTACTCAGAGGTGGCATTGTCCCAGGCCCCCGCCCCTTCTCCTCCTTAGCGGGGAAATATGCTGGGCCCACAGGCGTGGCGCCTTTGGGTTCCCGACGGGCCACCTGTCAGTTGTGCGGCCTTGGCAGGTCACTGCTCCCTTTTGTGTCTCCGTCTCTCGAGTGGATTCCAGTGCGTTTCTGTGAGGACACACGGCTGCAGACAGGCAGTGGGCAGCCGGTGCGGCCAGCGCACGGCGAGCTCTCTCAGGGGTCACGGCAGTCGCTTCTCTCGGTTGAAACGCTTCTTTGCTCTTCCAGATCGACTCTAGAGATGGTCTCGTTCAGTTCCTAGGTTCCCTGGCTGGGAGTGCCCTGGGCTCCTCTCTGGTCCTCTGCTGAGGGTGCTCACTCCTATGGGAGGAGCGGACAGGACAGGGCCTTCTGCCCGTGGGCCTCCCCAGCAAACACAGGCGTCCATCTTACTGATGAAGATTTATTTCACATACTTTCACACCATGTCAGTTTGTCCATATAACGGCTGTTTCTCGTGGTTTCTACTGTGTGGTTTCCCCATGCACTACTGTATATATAATATGCATAATATAAATATATGCTATATGCTAATAATATATTTATTTAAATATCTAATATTAAATTAACATTTTATTAATATTTAATGTTAATGTATTAATTTAAATATTATATATTTATATATTTATTTATATGTCAATAATATATATATTTATATGGCATCGTAAACAGACTCTATTATATTGTATTTAACTGTTTTCGCCTATAATGGAATGCTTTGCAGGCAGGCCCATTTGTTTGGACACCATCTGCTGAACTCATATGTAAGTACGTAAATACTCGTGTGTACACAACACACACTATTTCATATTGGTAATTCAGTTTTTTCTTCTATATATGTCTTTATTTCAAAATTTTCTGATGATTCTCTGTTGATGATACCATTTTCTCTTTTGTGAGTATTTATACTTAGTACTTTAATCTTGAAGAGTTGTTGGCCAGTGCCTCCACCAGAAAGCTAGCACTAGCAGGAGAGGGGGAGACTCATCTTGCTTCTGATGTGGACGGACCATTCTGTGTTTCTTTTGAGCATGTGGACTGGGTCTGCATACGCGGAGCTTCTCAGCTTTCCCCCAGTCTGCCTGGTCGGACCACCCGCCCCATCTGCTACCGCCCCCCCACCCGTGTCCCCGTTTGCTCAGGACGTTTGGAGCCCAGCAGCTGTGGGGTGGCGTCTCCACGGCCCTGTGGTCTCACCACCAATATATGACATTGAACAAATCCAAGGAGACGAAACCAGGCATCAGCATTTGTGCCTGTTCCAGCTCGGTTCTAAGGGTGATGCCTGTTTACAGACCAACTATGTAATGATTATTTCTACCCAGAAAAAACATTCCTCAAAGATGGGGCCATTTCCCTAGTCTCAGAATGGGTGATTTCTTTTGGACTTCGGCATTTTAACTTCCTTTTGTTTATTTTCCTCATTTCTGTGGTATAGCAGTTTATGTAAATGTGCCACTTTGTACAACTGTATTTTGGTTATTTAAATATGTATGAATTAGTTGAATAATAGAACAGAAATTATTTTTTAAAAAAATTATGTGTTTTCATAGGATAGCATAGTGGTTAAAACTAGAGAAATTGGATTTGGAGAGATTGCAATTAAAACCCCTAATTTGCCTAGAATTCTAGAACTGGAATTTAACCATTTGATCTTCACTTTCCTTTTTCTGATAAAATTCTGATTATGATAATTACCCCGTAAGCTTGTAGTGAGGTTTCAGGAAATAACATGTCTACAGCATGTAAATATATCAAGTCACAGTAAATATGAGCTCTCCATTATTACAATAAAATATTGCAAAGTTTAAGGACTTGGTGGGATCAGCTCATTTGCCTTTTTCTTCCCTCTCGTGTACACAGCAGAGGTATATAGTGAGGCTGGCAGAGTTTGAATCCGAATATATAGAACCACCGTGTCTGACCCACATGTACAGATCTAACCTAATCCATATACACAGAACCACTGTATCTGATTCACATATACAATCTAAGCTAATCCACAGATAACCACTACATGACAGCCCAATAATCATTAAAGAAATTTAATTCATAATTTAAAAGCTCCTCGAAAACAAATCTCCAGGCCCAGATGGTTTCACTAGAGAATTCTACCAAACATTTAAAGGTGTAAAACTACGTTTACACTATTGCTTCCAAAAATTCAAGAATTGTGAGCAGCTTCCAGTCAGGCAGCATCACTCTGGTACCAAACCCAGATAAATGCAGTATTAAAAAAAATTCCTATAAATCAGTATCTCTGGTGAATTTAGACACAGACTTGTTTAAATATTAGCAAACTGAATTTAACCACTAAAAAAGAAAGTAAAAAGGAAGAGAGAAAATTATATGACATGAAAAATGAGAATGGGACTTATTTTAGATATATGAGACTCGTGAAAGTCAATAATCAATTGACTGATTAATACCAATAATCATAAAAATATTTTTATGATGACACACCATAAAAACAGGGAAAAAAATCACATAATCATATCAATTGATGCAGAAAAAGGGTTTGACAAAATTCAACACCATTCGTGCTGAAAAACACACTTGTCCTGATGGGGCCAGAAAGGAATTGGCTGAACTTGATAAACTAGAGAAGACCCACAGCTAACTGCAGTTCTGGAAAGACTGATTCATGTGAGGAAAGGCTGATTGTTTTCCCTCTAAGATCAGAGCAAACCAAGATAAAACATTTTTGACAATATAGTGTATGATTGCCTATTTACATGTATATATATAAAACTTCATAACAATATGGAAAAACACATAATTGTATTTTGTCAAGTCATTGAATGTTATTAATAGAAAATATAAAAGACAACTAAATTTAATTATTATTCAGAAAAATGAAAATTTTCATATGCACTGCTTTCCCTTGACAGTAAAATTAAACAAAATTTCTTGCAACATTGCAGTTCTTAGGTAGTTTCTTAATGGATGTCCAGAAACTTCACTTTGTTGAAAAACATTCAAAGATACTTACATTAAAAATTCAATAGATAACATAAGATATCTGCTTTTCCAAAACTGGACATAGTCACTCTAGTTTCAATAGATAACATAAGATGAAAATCTAAAAACATTGAAAAATCCTAAAATAAGGTGGAAAGCTGGAAAGAGAGGAATGAAAAGCACAGAGGACAAAGACAAACATTAATAGACTTAAATACAAACATGTCAATGATGTTACATTAAACGGAAAAGATCTAAACATAATGACTAATTTTATAGAAGCTGTCATATTAGACTTAAAAATATCCAACTACATGTTATTTCTAATACATGCACTTCAAAATAATTTTAATAATAAAGTAAAAGGATGAAGAAAGACATACCCTGCGAACGTGTATCGGAAGGAAACTAGAGTGACTATGTCCAGTTTTGGAAGAGCAGACTCAGAGCAAGGAGGGAAGGAGGCAGCATTGGCAGAGTGGGGACGGCCCTCATCGCCACGATGCAGCCACCCGGACAGGGCGTGCCTATCAGAGGGGACTCAAAACGCGCGCGGTGAAAACTTACGGAACTTAGAGGAGGAAGGGGCAAGTCCACAATCGCAGGAAAACATTAACAGGTCTCCCTCTGAAATCACGTAAACGAGTAGACAGAAAATCAGGGGAAGTAATAGAAAAACAGCGCCATCCAATAACCGGACCCAACAACCTTGTGGAACATTCCAAGGACGCAGCGGGAATACACACTGTCTCCCGGAGCATGCGCACGGAGCATTCTCGCCGAGAGCACACCCGCGGCCCGGGCGCAGGGGAGCCCCGGCGCCCAGTTAAGACTCACTGAGAGTCGTCCGCGGGTGCGCGCGCGTCGAGCCATAAGACTCACTGAAGTCGTGGCGAGGGGGCGCAGAGCCAGGTTAACCAGCTGAAGTCGCCTGTCCCGGCGGGGGAGCGACGGGAGCCAGTTAAGACTCACTGAAGCTGTGGGCGCAGGGGGAGCCCTGCCAGGTAAGACTCGACGGAATCGTGTGGCGCCAGTGAGCCAGTTGAAGACCACTGAATCGTGTTGCTGCCGGGGTGAGCCAGTTAAGCACTCAACTGAAGTCGGTGTCGGTGGCGCAGGGGAGCCCGCGGCCACGTTAAGACTCACGAATCGTGGGTGGGCGAGTGCAGCCAGCTTTAAGACTCACTGAATCGGCCTGGTGGGGGGCGCAGGCGAGCCTGGCCAGTAAGAAGACCCACTGACAGTCCGGGTGGCCGGCAGTGAGCCAGTGAGAGGGTCACTGAAGTCGGTGCGCCCCCAAAGCGAGTAAACGCCCCCATACAGTGGTGTGGCGGAGCTGAGCAGTGCGACCGCCGAGGCACGTCGTCGGTGGGCGGGTGAGCCCAGTAAGACTCACTGAAAGCGTGTGGGGCGCAGGGCGAGCCCTGGCCAGTAAGACTCACTCGAAGCGTGTGGGCTCCGGAGCACGTAAGAGCTCAGGAGTACCGTGGGCGCAAGTGAGGCCTCTGCTCCTGGCGGCTGACTCTAGCTCGCTTCGCGCCGGGTGCCGAGCCGTTTCAACATTTTCTGGCGGGTGCTCTGGGCCGGCTGGAACGGCGCAACTCGCTCCAGAGGCCCTGCTGCCTCGCAGTGTTTGCCGGCGCCGCCCTGGGACACGCTCACGGGTTGTCCCCACGGCGGCCTGGTCCCAGGGCCGGCCTGCGTCCCCCACGCCAGGGACGCCGCCGCCTGCGCCGCCCCGCGCGGGCCCCACGTGCCACAGCCGCCACCCAGCGGCGGCTGAAGCGGCACGTCTGACATGTATCGCTCCACCGCCCCGACGCGTCTGGTGGATTGGCTGCATTCGCTGGCCGGCTTCTCTCATGCCCGTTCGCGAGGTCGCGTGCCGCCTGCTGCAAGGACGGCGGAGGCGCGGCAGCCGGACGCCGCCGCCTGTGAAGCGAGGGCCGCGCTGGACCGCTCACCAGGGGACCGGAAGGCGGCGTGCGCGCGCGGGCGAGCCGGCCGTCACTCCCTGAGACGTGCCGCACCGAGACGCGGATCCCTGCCGCAGGGACGCTCCCGGCAGCGCCGATCCGGAGCGAATGAGAGCCCTGCGTCGCGGACGGCGCTGCGTGAAACGCGCACGCGAGGGCGGTAGCGACGGGCCAAGACAGAGACGGGCGGCGGGCTGCGCCGCGCGCAGCGAGAGCTCGGGACGCGACGGCCTGCAAGCCGGTTCCGCCGAAGCCCTGCGAGGGCTTCGCACCGGAGGCAGAAGCCGAGACCCGGCGGCTGGAGCCGGAGACGAGCGCAGGAGCAGGCCTTCCCGGAAACGCGGCTTCGCCGTCCACGGGGCGCGGGCAAGCGGCTCTACTCAAAGGCGCGGATTGAGGTTAATCGCTCACAGAACGCGGCACAGCCGACGCGCAGACGGGCGTGTCGACAACCCTGGGCGCCAGGCTGACCGGAGCGGCCACGGCGGACGGAACGCCACCGACGGGAGGCCACCGGACCTGTGCGCCAGGCTGACGTGAGTGCACCAGCCCAGATCGCTGACTTGAGCCCACGGCTGACGTGACCGCACCGCGGACGGTGCGAGGCGCCACGCGACGCCGAGCGGGGGCACGTGACGTGTGCGCCAGGCTGACGCGAGCCCCACGGGACGTGTGCGCACGCCTGGACGCGGGAACGCCAGGCTGACAGTGAGCGCCACGCGGCGGACGTGACGCACGCGACGTGAACGCCAGGGCTGGACGAAGCGCCACGCGGACGTGAGCCCCACGCTGACGCGGTGCGCCAGCGCTGACGTGAGCGCACGGCTATGTGAGCCCCACACGCGGGCACGGGAGCCAACGCGGACCAGCAGCCCCCACGCTGACGTGTGCCGCAGTGACACTGAGCCCCACGCGGGACGGCAGCCCCCGCGGACGCTGAGCCCCGCTGACGGGTGCGCCACGCTGACGTCGTGCGCCACGGGGCTGACGAGAGGCCACTCACTGCGTGAGCCCGACAGACGCTGAGTCCCACGCTGACGTGTGGCCACGTGACATGAGCCCGACGCCTGGGGAGCCCCACGCTGACCTGCCAGTCCCACGCTGACCGTGTGGCGCCACGCCTCAACAGGGCTGCCCACGCTGACGGAGCACGTTTGACGTGGGGCGCCACGCGTGACCGAGCCCCACGCTGAGGAGCGCCACGCTGACCTGAGCCACGCTAAGCAAGCGCCACCGCTGAGCCGGAGGCCCCACGCTGCACGACCGAGCCCCACGTGACCGAGCGCGCCCCCACCCGGCTGGACGTGAGCCCCACCGTGGACGCGAGGCCCCCACGCTGACGCCAGACGGCTGACGCCAGCCCCACGCTGAACCGGAGCCCCACGCTGACGGCCAGCCACGGCTGACGCCGAGCCCACGCTGCACGCCAGCCCCCACGGGACGCCAAGCCCCACGCTGCACGCCAGCCCCCAGCGCTGACCGGAGCCCCACCGCTGACGTGAGCCCCCACGCGCTGACCCCGGAGCCCCACGCTGACGCGGAAGCCGCCACGCTGACCGCGAGCCCCCACGCTGACGGAGCCCACGGGACGCGAGCGCCACGCTGACGGAGCCCCCACGCCGACCGGAGCCCCTCCGCTGACGTGAGGCCCCACGACTGACCGGAGCCCGCACGCTTGACGCGAGCCGCCCCAGGGGACGGGAGCCCCACGCTGACGCGAGCCACGGCTGACCGCGAGCCCCCACGCGACCGGAGCCCCACGCTGACCGCGCAGCCCACGCTGACCGGAGCCCCCCACGCTGACGGAGCCCCACCGACGAGCCCCGCTGAGCAGAGCCCCCAACGCTGACCGAGCCCCCACCGCTGACGCGAGCCCCACGCTGACCGGTAGGCCCGCAGGCTGCACCGCCCCACGCTGACGCGGAGCCCCCACGCTGACGCGAGCGCCACGCTGACGCGAGCCCCCCGCTGACCAGGCCGCCACGGACGCGAGCCCCCACGCTGACCGGGGCCTCCCGGCTGACGCGACCCCCACGCTGACGCGCAGCCACGCTGACGCCAGCCCACCGACCGAGCCCCCCACGCGCTGAGCGCACCCCCACGCTGACCGCGGAGCGCCCCACGCTGACGCGCGAGGCGCGCCCCACGCTGACCGGACGGCCCCCGGCTGACGGCAGCCCCACGCTGACGCGGAGCCCCACGCGGACGGGCGCCCACGCGACCGCCGACCGCGCCGCACACCACCGGCGCCCCCCGCTCTCCGGGCTGCGGCGCGCCGCTGGCCCGGCCCCTGCCCGGGCCTCCGCCTGCCGCTGGGATCGGCGGGACCTTGCTGGGGGTGACCGGCCCTGTCACACCTGTCCACAGCCACGGTGACTCCCTTCCAGGCCCCCACGGCCTTCCGATCTGCCTGTGACCGTCCTCGCGGGCCGACAGCGCCGCGCCTCCCTCCGGCCACGCGCGACGTGAGGCCGCCTCACCGTTCCGCCAAGCCTTCGCGAGCGCGTCCCGGCCGGCGGCTCCCTTCGCCTGGTCTGCCCAAATCCAGCCCGGCGCCCACCGCGGGCAAGCGCCCTGCGAGTGCGCAAACGCGCGCGCCTGGATTCTCTGGGGCCTGGCGTGTTCTCCAGAGCCCAGGGCCGCGCGCCCCGCCCACGGCCGTCCTGGGCTCCACCCGGGTGACCCGCGAACCACGCGTCACGTCGCGTTGCGTTGAGCCCGTTCCTCCTTCGTTCCTGTACCAGCTTGCGAGGAGCCCCTTGCTGCGTACCGCCCCGGTCCCGGCGGGAACGCAACACCTGGCCCGTAGCAGGTGCCCCATAAACACGCGCGGGACAGCGGAGGAGCGAGTCGCGCAGAGACGCCGTGAGGCCACCACCACTAGGCGCTCTTGTGTCCTCGGACAGGCAACCCAAGGACGTTTCCCGCCGTATTCCCGCCGCACCAAGCAGCAACCCAAGATGAGGTGGGTGGAAGAAACGGGGTGGCTTCAAAATGACTGGACTTGGGGGAAATGTGATAGCCCTGATCCTCTGTAAATAAAACACGTGTGAGATTGCATTAGCTTCCTGGGGCTGCCGTAGCAAAGCGCCACAAACTAGGTGGCTTGAGTCAACATTCTGGAGGGGAGAAGTTCAAAGTCAAGGTGCCCACAGGGACTAGCTCCCTCCGAGAGCGCCAGGGGAGGATCCTTCCCGGAAGCTGGGTGCGGCGATCCTCGGCGCTCTGCGGCTTGCGGATCCCCGTGCTCTTCCCTGCGAACGTGAATTTCTTTGGAT